TCCTGTACCTCCAACACTGCCAAATAGGCAGTGAGGTTCTTGGCAAATATTTATTGAATGAATAATCTCCATGGCCCATGTCATTATCAACTTCTATCAACAACACCCAAACGGTCATTGTCTGTACCAGCGATCACACCTTGTACAGGAGTCCGGAGACACAGATATTCCAGGTATCATTTAGTCACCTTCTGGTCTAAAGGGCAAGTGGCGCATGATGGAGACCCAATTGGCCACCGGGGACTTCCTGTGCTTTCACATTAATCTTTGCTCACCCCTGTCTCAGGGCAGGTGGCCGAGAGGGTGCAGAGACCTTTCCTGTGGTTTATAAATAAGTCTGCGTTCATAGTAGGTCTCAGACTAGCCCACATGGCATCTTGCCCTCCCTTGGCTCAGTGAGAAGGTCTGCTCTCAGTAAGAACATTAGAAACAATCATACAGAGATCAACACAGAACAACAAGAGTCTTGGTGATAACAACACAAACTGAAGACGTTCTAGCATACCCTGCCCCCAGACTATAGAAGCAGTTCATTTCAGGGTCAGGAATGTTTCATACCACAATGGCTATCTGGCTTACTTGTCTGGCAAGACATTTCACAAAAGTGGACTCTCAAAGGTTAGACCAAGTATCAGGTGTCACGAGATGCTTCATAAACAATAAGTGCTCAAAGGTTTTGTTGCTGAGCCCCAGCAACTGACACTTACCAGTGTGTCACTTGTGAGTTCTTCAGGAATCTGCTGATCAAAATGGCAAATGGTCATGCTCAATGATTAAATCATGGGTACAGGTTACATTTCTTTACATGTTGAATACAGAATAGTTATCTGAACCCCCAGTCACAAGGTCTGACTTCATATTCGATGATGTAAAACAACAGAGCTCAACAATGGACTAGAGAGCCTCAGGAGAGAGGAAGGCCTTAGCTGTAAAGTGGGCGGCCAACATGTTGCCAGATTTCTTAACACATTTTGGATAAACACAGTTAGGTGGCATTTTATTGACTGAATCCCTGATTTAGAATTGGGATGCCACATTATAGTCCAGACTTCTTTCTCTGCAAGTAAAGAAGCAGCGAGGTAATGAATTTGCTTGGCTTGCTATGAGATAGGACTTGTGAGTGGGTGACAGAAGTTCTGGAGGCAGGTGGCTTTGAGCTGGGGATTTTGGTTCTCTTACCTTTCAGCTGCAGAGTTTGCAGGAGCTGTGTGAGCTTGAGCAGTCTTACTTGGTTCCTTGCGACCTGTGTTTCCCGATCTATGAATCAGAAATAACTCATAGACATATTAGTACAGATTAAGTTTCATACTGTGAGCAACACAGCACAGCATGCTCTAATTCTAGATAGAGATATCTGTAAGTAACAAGGATTTGGTCAGGCAGTTTCTGACCTCTTTTCTCAAATTGAAGACTTTTTTTCAACAGGCTCAAGAACCAGGAACAATGTGAGGCCACTTGAATTGGTACCAAAAGATTGCGAAATTAATGGCAAACAGACATCTGGGTTTAGAGATGGCTAGGTAATTCAGATTCATCAATGGCAAGAAGCACCATCCTCTTCAATTAGGTGGTTGGTTAGAAGAGTGAGGGTGGATATTCAGCTCTATGAAATGCGAATGAAATCTACTGAGAAACACATGCTAGGAAATCTAGATTGCATGTATCCAGACATGCCATGGATATTATTGACATTCATGAATATAATCTTCTTACCAGTTCCACTGAAGTGAGCCACATCTTCCTTATTATACAGAGCTACTCTTATCTTCCTGATGAAGATACCTTGACTTTATATATCTCCCCTGTTACCTATTTTCATCTAAATTTCAGCCCAGTTTATTTAATATCCACAGCATTTCCATATGATGTGGATTGTATTTCCATATGAAAACAGATTGCCATCACGCAGTCTGCTTGCTTGTTTTGTTTGAATGCAGGAGGACGGTGTCACAAAAGGTTAAGCAAATTGCCTAAAGGTCACAAAGCTATGCAGGAGCTGGATAAACAACAAGACAGCCTGAACATTCAGTCCAGTGAGCTGCCCAGTGCCTCTCAGACCACAGTATGTGTATGAATCATTGGGCATCTTGCTACCTCGAACATTCTGAATTCAGTAGATGAGGGTGCTGATATTCCAGATGTTTAAAAAGTGTGCTTGGATCATCTCTCACAATACCCTTCATAGTACCATAGCATGTCTTTCCTAATATTTCTCTCCGTCCTCTTGTACCATTTGGGTATCCACCTGTTTTTCCTACCACACTATGAATCTCTCAAGAGTAGGTACTCTCTTCTCTGCACTTTTAAACCACCTGCCCAGAACTATGCTAGGAAAAAGGAACTGAATGATTATTTCTTCAGGATGAAGGAAAAATTACCTTTTTCCAACTTTAAAGCCAGGACACTCGCATATTAACATCTTGGTCACTTGTTGAAGGGGGGTATTTGTCATGTATCTGTTCTTGTGACAGTCGCATTATGATACTAAATTGCAATTGCCAGGTCTGGAAATAACATAACTGCAAGAAGTCCTGCAGGGTCAACAAGTTTAGACTTAACACTCCAGCAGAACTGAGCTGTAGCTCTTCTGGAACAGTCACATGGGATGGGTTCATGGGAGGTCATCCTCAGCATAAGGGAAGTACAGAACAGGCAGGGTCACTTGGACTCTTGGCTCTCTGATTTGAAGGCAGCCACATCTCCCACTGGAAGATAATGACAGCCATCTACTGTAAGTTGAGGGTTTTCCATATGCCAGTCACAGTGGCGAGCACTTGGCATAAATCAGCCTTAATTCATCCCTCTATAAGCCTGAAGGATAGGCACTCATGGTAAAGAAACAGATGTCCAACTGTTAAGAGGTGAAGCCAAGGACGTGGACTGATTTCACAGTGGGGGCTTCTAACTCGTTTCCCACTGCCTAGAAGCACCGGGGAAAAAAACTGCCTCTAAGATGCAAGTGGTTTCACTCATTGAGTCATAGGTTTCAACAATCTCAGACAGGGCTGGGGAGAAACAGGAAATGCCCTTGATACCCAAAAAGAAGGATCTAAAAACACAGTGTAGAGAACTAACAATATTTTCTGCTAAAGTTTTCAATTAAGTTTGACTTTATTTGGATTTTGGTTAAATATACAACATCATGGCAGGTGAAGTCAAAGTCAGTTAAGGGAGACGTCTCAAAGGTCCAGATTCCTTTCACACCTCATTAGGTCTCTTATGAAACCTTGCACTAATGATCAGGCCAAATCCCCGAGGACATTCATTCTCGGAGGAAATCAGAATTTTGTTAAGCATGCATGTTCAATAAGAAAACTCAAGAAGTCCAAAGGACACTGAGACTTTTTTGCTTCTCAGAAGCTTAAACAGCATTTCAACAGTTAATATTTTAACCTTGACTATCAGAAAATGAAGAAGTTAGGAAAATGAGAAGGGAGCATGTTGTCACGTTGGCATAAAAACAAGGGTGAATTTGATCTTTAAGATTTATTTATTTTTATTGCAATATATACATATGTATATGCAATATATATACAGAGAGGAGGAGAGACAGAGAGAAATATCTTCTGTCTGATGATTCATCCCTAAGTCACTGCAACGGCCGATGCTGCACTGATCCGAAGCCAGGAGCCCAGATCCTCTTCTGAGTCTCCCATAGGGGGTGAAGGGTCCTAAAGCTTTGGACCGTCCTCAATTGCTTTCCTAGGCCACAAGCAGGGAGCTAGATGGGAAGTGGAGCTGCTAGGATTAGAACCGACGCCCATATGGGATCCTGGAGTGTTCAAGGTGAAGACTTTAGCCGTTAAGCCACAGCACTGGACCCAATTTTCTTCTTCTTCTTTTTTTAAATAAAGATTTGCAAATGTGTAGTAAGAAAATAAACAGGGACAATAGTGTAGTAACAGGGGCTTGAACAAAACACTGCTGCAAACAAAAAAAAGTTGAGCTTTGTAGATTTTTTAACTATACTGGTGTGATAAAAGTGCTGTTATTTTTAAGACAATGTTACCAGTTTTGAAGAGTCAAAATTTAGTTCAGTCTCTTTCAAGTCATGGCTGAAATTGGTGCATTTCCTCCAAGATCCTGCTCTGTGAAATGGAAACAAGAAGACCTTGCCTTCTACCATTAATACTTCATATTAAACAACACACAGCACTAGTCCCAAATTATACCCTCTTTCTCCCTTTCTTATAAGGTGGGTGTTTTATTTATTTTTTTTTTTTAACAAATACTTGAGGATCCATTTTAAAATTTTTAATAGGAAAGGCAGATTTATAGAGAGGAGAGACAAAAAGATCTTCTGTCCACTGGCTCATTCCCAAAGTGGCTTCAATGGCCACAGTTTACCTGAAGCCAGGAGCCAGGAGCTTTCTCCGTATCTCCCACACAGGTGCAGGATTCCAAGCCTTTGGGCTGCTTTCCCAAGCCACAGGCAGGGAGCTGGAAGGCAAGTGGAGCAGCTTGGATATGAACCGGTGCCCATATGGGATCTCAGTGCATGCAAGGTGAGATATAGCCACTAGGCTATTGTGCGGGGTCCAAGTTGTGTTTTCTTGAGAGTATCCTAAGTGTTTCTGTTTTTACTCTAACAATTTGGTAGTGGAAAAGATCTTGCTTATTTAAAAGATCTACAAATAAACAGATAAAATATTTGTAAGAAAGTGGGTATAAACTATCAGTGCCCTGCATACAAGATCAAGCTCCTACGTTGTTGTTAAGCTTGGTGTGAAAGGTTGAGTTTTATAAGATTTCAGGTATGTACACATGCTTAAAACATCAGCATCATTCAGAATTGCACTTATACTCAATGAATTACTAAAATCACAGAACTGCTAAAAATCAAGAAACTGTATACATAATGTTTTTTGAAAAAAACTTCCACTTCAAAAATTCTAAAGTACTTCTTTAGAATACAATACATATTGTAGTTTGATTATGTTTTGCTGGTTTCTAGAATTAATTGGTGATTTCATCAAATACCAAAAAAAAGCACTCAGCATCTTAAAATAAAAATTTTTATTTATGGAAATTCAATTTGCAATTTACATATAAAGGTGGTCAACTTCTTACGAAGTTACAACAACATACATAATAGACATTAAGTCAATGAAGATTACAAATAAGATTTTCAGAAGTTGTCCCACAAATTCATCTTCTAGATTTTTAGGGGTAGAAGTAGAAATTAATATCCAGTTTTTACCAGTCATATCCAGAATATTCCTGTTTCCTGGGGGCGGGGGTGGGGGGAAAGAGAAAAGTATCCTTGGATGAACACATTAATAATCCTGATTTTTTTCAACTCAATATGGTATTTGCCGTATAAACAAAACAGTGCAAAAGTAAGACTTCCAGGGAATTCTCTGTATTAATCTGTAACCAACTGCAAAACTAAGATTTTTTTCTCCTGCTCATTTTACAAAACAATCACAGGCTTTTTATTTATCAACCCTGCCTTTCTATCTAAAAGAAACGGCTCAAGCAGCTTTTGTGATGTTCACACTCTTTCATGCTCTCACTCATTCATTTGTTTATTATAAGGTATCTGTGGTCTTTAGTAGTCCTCTAACTACAAACTGTTACTTCGAAATGAAAATTTGAAGGCCTGGGGAAAAACAGGTGATGACAAAAACCTTCTAAGCATAAACATCAGAAGGTATTTCATATTTGCTTGAGATTCTTTTTCTCATGTTTGGCTACTCAAGAAGACATCAGATCCAGGAATTTTACAAGGTTTTATGTGGTACTCCGTTTGCCACCCTGATGGAATATCTTACCTGATGTCTCTTAGAGCCATTCTTCAGGCCCTTTACAGGGAACGCAAAAGCAAGTGAGCCAACAATCAAACAGAAGTTCCTTACATACATTTAACTTAAAATGATTATCAACAGCTTAGAAAAGTAGCAGGACTTGGGTCTTAAATTATCTCACCTGCTATTTTCACTCAAAAATCGAAATGTCACTGAACCTGAAGTGAGAATGAAACATAAAAGGGAGAGAGAGATGAGTATTCTGACAGCTTTCTTCTCCCCCTTTAAGCAGCCTTGACTAGCTTAGGGAATAACTTGCCCCATTCCCATAAGAGGGACTGGCTTGTGCAGACTACACAGCCATGATTAGCACAGGAAGCATGTAAGATTTTCCCTATGGTTAACCATTCCTTTTGTCTGTGTTTCAGCAACAGGGACAAGAATTAAGGGTGGGACTGCAAAGTGACTGTGTCTTTTCTGTAACCTCAGTCTCCAATTGGACTGCCCGGGGTATCCTCAATTCTCTGGAAAAAACTCTCTTAACACGACGAGATTGAGATGACAAGGGAGGTGGGTTGGGAAAACCTGAATTCTCACCTGAATTTGTTCCAGGTAGCAGTGCACGACACCGTTCCTTGCTTTTCTGTTTGCTCTTGCTAGAATACAGTGCATTCAGCACAGGTGGTTTCTTAGCAACCTTGGTTCCTGGGTCAAAGCACATGAAGAGGTTTTACCGCACAGTGGGGTGGTTAGGAAGCCAACAGCCAGGGAGTCTGCTTGGAGAAACTCTGAAAGGACTTTCCAAAGAGAGGACAGAGTATCAGAAGATAGACCACAGTCAACAGGTGACACTTCAGTGCCACTTACCACAGCATTGAGTTAACTAAAAACTGATTGCTTAACAGAAGTATCCAGAAAAATTGTAAGATTTTCCTGGCAAACACACATGAAGTTTTGAAAGCAACTTCCTAAAAATGAATTTAATAAATGTTGTAATATCTTCACAGCAAAAGCACCAATACTACTGATCTTCAGGCCTTCCCTATGTAACCCGGGAGTGGGTGTGCTGTGGTGCCAGGATCCCACATGGACCTGGTTTGCATCTCAGCTGCTGTACTTCTGATGCAGCTTTCTGCTGATTCCCAGAAAAACAGCAGAGGACGGCCCAGGTGCCACATGGGAGACCAAGAAGAAGCTCCTGGCTCCTGGCTTTGAAAATGCTCAGCTCCAGCTGTTGCAGTAACTGAGGACTGATGGAAGATTCTCTCTCTCTCTCTCTGTGTGTGTTCTAGATAAATTTTTTAAAAAGATTTATTTATTGGAAAGTCAGATATACAGAGAGGAGGAGAGACAGAGAGGAAGATCTTCCATCCGTCCAATGATTCACTCCCCAAGTGAGCTCAATGGCCGATGCTATGCCAATCCGAAGCCAGGATTCAGGAACTTCTTCCAGGTTTCCCACACGGGTGCAGGGTCCCAAGGCTTTGGGCCGTCCTCAACTGCTTTCCCAGGCCACAAGCAGGGAGCTGGATGAGAAGTGGAGCTGCCGGGATTAGAACCGGCACCCATATGGGATCCTGGCACGTTCAAGGTGAGGACTCTAGCCGCTAGGCCATGCCGCCGGGCCCAGATAAATAATTTTTTAAAGAAGAGACCATAACTTAGGAGATTGAATGTCTCCCTTTTGTATGTTTTAAGACTGAATTCTTTCACAAACAAAAAAAGATGTAGCAAAAATAAAACAAAAAACAGGCTATAAAACATGGCTGCTATACCCTTTCACCAGGTACGTATGCTGTAGGTAATTTATGATAATAGCATTAATTAATTTATTCCAGAGGCAGAGAGACAGAGACTGACAATATTGTAACATTGTCCACTGTGTCCCTCACGAAATACCCTTCAATGGTTGGGGATTGACAAATTGGGCCAGAAACCAGGAATTCAACCCAGGTCTTCCATGTTGGTGGTGGGGACTCAGGTGACTGAGGTTATCCCTGATGTCTCCCAGTGTATACATCAGCAGGAAGGCCTCACTGAGGGCAGAGCCAAAGCTTGAACCCAGGCACTCCAATACGGAACCCAGGCATTCAAACCTGGGTGTTAACAGATGGGCCAGATGCCCACACCCACGGTCATACATTAAGCACGAGCGCACATGTTCAAAGGTGGCCATGCATTCTGTTTGTTCTGCACCTCTCACCACACGCTTGCTTTCTTTCCTTCTTTCTCTCTTAAACTGAAGCACAGGTTGAGTGCTCCTCATCTGACTGGCGTGGGATCAAAAGTACTTCAGATTACCAACTATTTTGGATTTTGGAATCATTGCTTACTCATAATGAAATAGCTTGGAAATAGAACCCACATCTAACCATAAAATGTATTTACTTATCATATATACCTTATGTCTACAATTTGAGAATATATTTTTAAAAATTAGTAAAGGTTTATTTATGTGAAAGGCAATGGAGAGCGAGAGAAAAGAGAGAAAGAGATCTACCACTTCGCAGTGTGACTGGGTCAGGCCAGAGCTAGGAGGCTGGAACACTATCTGGGTCTTCCACATAGCTGGCAGGGGTCCAAGCACTTGGGCCACGATCACAATGCCAGTTCCTGTACTTTTAGTGTGCCTGGGTTGGACTGAGGCCTGTTACATGAGGTCATGTGGGATTTTCCTCCTGTGACATTGTATCAATACTTAAGAAATCTGCATTGAGGGAGCAGGTGTTTGGTGCAGTGGTGAGGGTACCCCTTATGATGTCATGCATCCCATGCTGAGGAACATGTGTTCAAGTATCAGCTCTGTTCGTGATTCCAGTTTCTAATTAACACACACCTGAGAGGCAGAAGGGGACAGGTCAAGCACTTGGGTTCCTGTCACCTACATGGGAGACCTTGATTGAACTAGACCAAACAGCAGCCTGATTTAGTTCCAGCTGTTGCAGGCATTTCGGGAAGTAAACTGGAGGTTGGAAGCTCTCTCTCTCCATCTTTCTTTTTCACTTCCACATAGATGGAAACAAAAGTAAATGCAAAAAGCTTTTGATTTTGGAGCATTTTAGATTTTTGAGTATGTTAGATATTGGATTTTTGGACAAGGAATGCTCAGCTACATAGCATACATACAGAAAAATAGAGAAATTTTAAGTAAATAGTATGTCATCAGTGAATAAGTCATGAACTTTGTGAGGGTTTTACAATATTAACATATACATGTAACACCTAACCAGATCCATCATGCTATTATTATTATGGAAAAAAATATTATAAGCTACAACAGGAGGCTAGTTAAAAGAGCCACAATTAGTGGCCATACATTAAAATTCTATCACCTAAACAAACAAATGGCCACCTGCACCAGACACATAGCCATATATTATTTATATTATCTACAATGTGCAAACAACCCAAATACCTGTTACTATATACACAAATTGTGATGAGGTCATATAAAGAAATATTACACAATAAAGAGAATTAAGGTACAGTTAGATACAAAAGCAGAGATGGATCTTACAGCTGCAGTGCTGATTTTTAAATTCAAGCACAAGAGGAAATACAAGGTCTAAGTATGTTTCAGCTATTCTTTGGGATGCCTAGATTACCGTTTCTTGCTAAACACAATCTAGGAGGGAAGAGGCGATGGCTGGAGTTACTGCCACCCACACAGGAGACTCGGGTGAAGGCTGGACGCTTGGTCTCGGTCTGGTTCGGATTCCACCAGGGAAGTGTTTGCAGAGTGAATCAGAGAATGGAAGCTAACTTTATGTCTGTATAATCCTTTTACAAATGTCCAAATAAAAACAACATTTCTTAGGAAGCACATTTGCATACAGTAAAAACCTAGAGCTAAAGTGCATGGCTCAGTATGGTAAGGGTGAAAGTGTCAAATTTAGCAAGAAAAGTAAGGGACTGCTAAAAGGAGACTGGGAGAGTAAGGATCAGGCATGGCACAAGAAGGAGTTACCAGAAATGCTGTGTTTCTTGTCCTTGGCGGTGGTTATATTAACATTTACTTCTAATTGTGGGTTGAGTGTATACAGACATTTTATATATTATTTTCTGTATGTTCATTAGGTTTTATAATTGAAATATTGAAAGAAAAAGACCAGAGAGAGAAATGTGCAAATCTCAATAGTGGTCATAGTGGCTCAGTCATTTTCCCTCCTTACTTTTTCTATCTCTTTAATGTTTTCATGGACAAGGATATTGTTTCTTTAACTTCAGAAACCCGAAGCAGTTCTGTTTCGGTTGCTCTTCTTCCCTCTCTAGAAACATGAAAGTAATTTATAGGGATTTAACTTCTGGTAACCCAATTTTTACCATAAATAGGATCAAAGGAAACGCTACATTTGTCAATGGAACATTTGAGAATGAAAATATACAACTACCATGCTAAACCAGCCAGAATCTCTCTTTCTAAGGGGCACACTCTTGTCTCAATCAATAATGCCCACGAGATCCAGTGACCTGGGTAGCTGCTGCTTGCTCCCCTTGACATCAGCTAGGTTCCTGGGGCTCTCACTCTGGAAGGACACACATTTAGTCACAGTCTTCAAATTGTATTGGTTCTTACTCAGCTCAAATCTTGGTACTGAGGTGGGGTCTTTTCTTTTGGGGTTGTGGGAGGGATTTTAAGATCCTTCCTTTTAGAAGGAAAAGCTATTTAACAGTTATTTTTAGGAAAAAAATATATAATGTTTTTTTAATCTACTAAGACATATATCACAAGCATATATAACTTTCAAAAAAGTTAGAAAACTATACTAGAATTTATCTCAAGACTTCATTCTTACCTTGAATGTAGCAAGAAGTTACCTGGTGTAACTTCAAGTTCTGATGTAAGGCATGTAAGTTATTTTGGGCCAAAAATACTTTATAGTATTCAGACGGTTTATATAACATTGGATGATTGCAACAAGGTTTCATCCCATTTGATTGCCTCTATTTTTCTTGTCCAGAAGCAGCTAGGAACCATTTATGATGTCATAGGATACTCCACTGGTAGTGCAATGGGTACATTCTTGTTCAGTTTTCAAAACTTCATATTCTCCTTTGAATGCATCAATTTTCAGGTTCAAATAACTGAATTCAAATAGACTTATTCACTGCTTGTCGATCAGGTGGACAGGCAAGTTAGACTAAAGGGTAGCAATAATAAGCCTTTGGTCTCCAGAATATACACTGCTCTGTCTTCCTTGCTTGTCATTTGCCACTGGCTGCTAGGCTCTATCCTTTCACCCATTTACCATCTTGTTTCTATTGAGAAAAGTGTTTTTCACATTATTCCCCCTCCTGGAATGGTAGAGAGTTCATTTTCTAAGTGGTTGAATCCCTTTCATAAATAAAGCAAAATAAATCACAAGCTCAAACTCCTTGAATTATATAAAATTTAGTCTAAAAAACCAAACCTACCTCAAAAAATAACAACAAAAAATCAGTCTAAAACTTCACCCTTTTCCCCTTTTGGGTTTTTCACAGCCCCTTCCATTTCCCCTTCCGAGGCGTGGATTTTTGTCAAGACAAAGAACAGAATGTACGTTGCAAAGTCTCACTTACAATCAAAACACTTTTCATTGGATTCAAGTTTATAGTCTTTAAACACATGAGTCACATTTCAAAAACATTTTTTTACAAGAATTTTCTAATCCTACTCCTGCTTCCGTAGCTATCTAAGAGTTAAGATAATATCTGCAGATTTCCTCTTGAGACATGTGCTGAGAAAGGAGACGTCATGAAAACCGGTCAGGGGTTGGCACTGCGGAATAGCGGGTAAAGCCACTGCAACGTGGCCATCCCATTTGGGCATTGGTTCTAATGTGCCTGGGAAAGCAGCATACCATGGCCCAAATGTCTGGGACTCTGTTACCCGAGGGGGAGACCTGGAAGAAGTTCCTAGCTCTTGGCTTTGGATGATCCAGCTTTTAAGGGCCATCTGGGCAGTAAACCAGCTGATGTAAGATTTTCTGACTCATTTTCTCTCTCCTCTTTCTGTAGCTCTTTCAAATAAATCAACCTTTAAGCATGTCTCCATTTTTGCTTAACAGGTTTCCTAAGTAACTGTAAGAGCATAGTGCAGGCCTACCATGTGCAGTGACGATAACTTTGGGCAGATGTAAGTCTCAGGAACCGCAGGCTGCTTGGTGTCCTGTGTCTGGATGGTGATTAGCACCTCAGGACAGCCTCCAGACACAATATCCTTTCAACTAACCAGCTCATTACTGTTTTCAAACTTGTTTTCAGAAAAAAAGTTGTTATTTTAAAAGATTGGTATTATAATGGAGATTGACTATACTAGATTGAAAACAGTCACATCATTATTAATGGTCACACTCCGGCTGCAACCCTTGTTCTTTCTCCTCGTCTGTGAACTGCTTGTTCACCAATGAGATGGATGTGTTCACAGTTATACCTTTCTGGGCCTGATAACCTTGCATTTGTCAAAGCATCTTTACAACTGTGAATTGTTCATGCATTCACATCAAAACACCCTGCCTCATGTAAATGCGACATTCCCAAGACCACAACCACAAGCTCGCTATCAACACGGTCAACTGAAAGTACTGTTCTTGTGCGTTTGCTTTACCAGTTATGATTTATTGTACTCTTAATAATCATTATTTTGTTTTTAACTTCTGGTTGCCTTATTGCTGACAAGCTTCTCCCCTTTACCTCCTTAACATTAACCAGACAGAAATAACCAGAATGCTTCCATGACACAGTGCTGGAACAATGGGTCTGAAATGACACTAACAGGGTTGGAATCCTAGATGTGTTACTTAGTGTGAGACTCAGACAAGTTGCATTAATTCTCTGTGCCTTGGTAGCACTTCTAGAAAATGGAGATGACAGCAACTTCTTTAGGTATCATGAGAATTAAATGAGTCCAAACTTGGGCCTAGAAAGCAAACACTTCATACAGGATGACAACTGTTGCTAACTGCAGTCTAGCATGTCACCTGACAGTCATCATTCTGTTCAGGCTCTGCTTCAGCAGCAAACCAGTGGCAAACTCCTTCCTGAGCTTGAGACTCAGTGTTCCTTTCCTGTGTTCCATCCTGTCCTCCTCAGGGCGCATGCATTTTCCTCCTCTCTGAGTCACGCAAGTGTTACCATCACTGCACTGCCTCATGTCTCGTTATGTGGTCTCATGGGTCACTGCTGTGCAAGGTGGGGACGACCCTCCCCATCCCTGACCCCAGTGCCTCACAGTCCCTGACACTAATGGGTACTGAAAAACTCACACTTTGGTGCGAGGCTTTCTTGCAAAACTCAGCATTCAATTAGATCAAATGATAATGAAAACAGAAATATAGATACATAGGGATTAAGTCTATTTCCCACAGAAAATAATTTTAAAAATAAAATCCCCAAATTGGGTGTTTTCAATTTGTTCCCCAGCAGTTAAGTTCTCCCGTCCCCTAGAAAATTTATGTTTAGTAAAATTATCTTTTAGAAACTTGAGAGAGCATATGAAAAATATGAAAATGTCTTGTTAATCATCTTGCTTTTTGATTTCCATTAGGTTAAACAAGTCAAATAGTTGGAAATGAACAAAAATTTGGTACAGACTCAGAAGGGTTTTAAGATAGGAATGCCATATTAGGATGGCTACTGTTTAAATTACATCAGGGAGATTTGTGTCGATGAAACACAAATTTGAGTCAGTCGGGAACTAACTGGAAACTTAGACACATTCAATAGTAAGCTGATTTTGTGTCTTCTGTAAGTTTCTAGAATTTAAGTTTAAGCTGACTTTTCTAAATAAATTAAGGTCTTTACTACTTTATTCCCAAAGCTGAATCATGTGCGAAAGGGAATTTGACACAAATCTGAGAAATGAACTTACTAATGACATGAGTTTAGCACAAGAAGAAGCTTGAATGAGGATAAGCACACGGCACATGATTTTACCTGGAGACAATTAGAAGCTTGAGTGCTGCACCGTGTGGCCTTTTCACAGTGAGTTTATCTGTTCCTGATGAGAAAAGCAACAGTCATGGAAAGTGTGACGTCATTAAGATGTGTTAGCACTAAAACAGATATTCGGGTTTTTATAAACTTCTTTGACAAATGAGTTCCAGAGAAGCACAGAGACTGTTCTGAGGCTGCACAGTTCCTTTTCCCAGTGCTAGCACCATCATTGCTTCAGCGGCTTCCTTACGTGTAAGATCAGCCGGAATCTGCTTTTCAGCACACCAGGCTATGTGGAGAGGTCCCACCTTCATCACCCAAAGACTTCTCTGACTTAGGCCAACAGAAGACAACAGAGTCCAGCATCAAAGCAAATCACAAGTGAAAACTGGAAAACCAAACCGGGTCAGGATCACAAGACAAAGACCTTGACGAAGTGGACTTCAACCAAGAACGAAAACATGCAATTAGTCACAGATGGTTGGTCAGCAAGGTGGAATGTGGAAACCATTTAGGATTTGCAGCCAAAGGAACTGGTCTTCCTTCCTGGCAGTTATTAGCTGTGTAGCCTTGGACAAAAAAAATTAACCTTGGATGCTACTTCATCTGGTGACAAGAGATAACAACTTCGGTCTTGCAAAGGTTTGAAAGGATTGCATTACTAACTAAAGTTATATGCCCATTACACTCACCGATTTTAATCTCTTAAAACCTTCTGCGGTGGAATATTAATATGACCATATTCTTAGCTGGAGAGAAAAGTTCAGTAAGCTGTCTAAAGTCACACTTAGCAAGAGGTGACCAGAGATTTGGATGGCGACTTGCTTGGCTCTAAAGCCTGTAGCCTTAGCTGCTCAGTATCACAAGACAGGTCAAAGTACGCCCAGGGTGCAGTGGTGAAGACGTCACTTGGCATGACTACATTCCTGTATGAAAGTGCCATGGCTTCCAGCAGTACTCCTAACTCTAGCTTTCTGTTGATGCCTACCCTGAGAGGCAGCAGGTGATGGCTCAAGTACTTGGCTTCCTGCCATTCAAGTGGGAGAACCTGGATTGGGTTCCAGCTTTGGTCTGCCCTAGCCCCACCTATTACAGATATTTAGGGAGTGAACCACTAAATAGAAGATTTCCATCTCAAATTGAAACAAACATTTAAAGGGGACATTAAGTGAAGAGCCCAACATGCCATCTGATTAAATAGTGGCTAGAGGAAACAGAAGAGTGAGAGACTTTCCCCAGCAATCAAACTATGGCGAAGAGAGACGGAGCTGCTCAGATTGAAAGTACTGGAAAGTTGAGGCAGGCAAACCCATGGGGAGCAGAGCACTGGCTGGCCTAGTAGCCTAGATGAGGGACCAACTGATCCCTTCAGGCTCTGGGGATTGAAGGGGCTCCAAGTCTGTCAGGAGCCACTTGTGTTTCTCTTTTCATTGCTTGTACTTTCCTGCTTTCTTCCCATGTCAGCCTACATCCAATTCAGACTTTCCCAAGCTATCTGCTGGCTCTGCCTGACATGTTTTAAGTCAATCTTCTGACCCTAGAATGAGCCATTTTTCTACATGTAACTCTTGAAGGCTGGGATTCTTGGTTGCCACATTCTTGCTCCAAATAGATTATGCATTTAGTTATGGACACATAACATTAAGAAATGTTCTGGAACCAAAACAGTCAAAATGTTATCAACCTTCTGCCTGCCAAGTTTTCAGCCCTCTCCATGAACCACAGCTGCAGTGTACTTGCAAGGCCAGGTGAAATGTTCAGAGCCCTGGCTTGAGGCCAGCCACGCAAGGCCGCCTCGGAAGCCCTGCTCAGAGCTGCAGTCTGACACTGTCCTTCAGACACCAGGAGCAAACAGGAAGAGCACTTAGTCTTGATTGCTTAGTGTTTCCTTCTCTGCAAAACTCAGATATTCAAATAAGTATCACCCCCCAGTTCAGGGCTGGGAAATGAAGGGCACTGTAGGGTTTCTGGCCTTGTCTGAGTTCTAGGAAGCATTTGGTCAAATCCTTTAAACTGCCTACTTGACCTGTAATACGTACTTCTCTGTATAAGATCATTGGTGAGAATGTTTCATGCCTTTTAGGGGACAATGTAATTTCTGAAACCAGTTGGATGCCGTTTGGGGTTGAGTTTAGCTGAGGAGGTAAACGACTATGTTGCAGAACAGAACTTCAAGTTTAAATAACAGACTGTCTTCCTTTAGCGGACAAGTGATTTCTACAGCTTTAAGCACAGGACTTGGGACAACACAGATGTGCAAACATTTTTATGGTAGGGAGGATGAGGTATAATTTTAGGGTGGTGTTGGCCTGTGCCTCACAGGGTCATTCCTTACAAGGGATACTCCTGAAGAGTCCTGAATCACAAGCAACCCAGAACTGCTCATGAAATGGCCTCTTTCTCTTGCATGAAGAGCATATGAACTCCTTGCTACTGCAGCACTGTGTCTTGCACATAATAGGAATTATATACTTGCTTCCCAAAAGGCAGCTTCCAGAGGAAAACACAAATCTCCATTACCTGAGTTTTCAGGTAACACTCCGGGAAGCAGGTAGTGTGTTAGATGGCACTGTTCTCTGCCCTATTCAGGAAGAAAAGAACCGAGTGCATCGTTTGGAACCACAATAAAAAAACCTGTTTTCTAGAATTCTAATAACAGCTTATGAAAGTCACAGCTTACACCCTGAAAAGGCTTTTTTGGCGTTTTGTTATCATCACTGATCTTAGTTCTAGCTTCATTGTCTCAATTGCTAACAATTAACATCCTCTTATCAACCCATCTCCAGCTTCCACATGGTTTACAGCATCCTAAACAGGACATTATAAAAAGTATTCCAAGTCCAATTTTTCTTGCTGGAGTTTAAGGTTTCTCATCAAAGACCATATCTGAAGGTTCTGGGTTTGAACTTAGAAGACTGAGAGATTATCAGCAAGATGAGAGGCTTTACAAATTAAAGTAACTGTCACTATATTTGGCCAGGTATTCACGAATAAACTTCACCTGCCTGAAAAACAGATTATAACTGTCATTTCACAAACAGGGAAACTGAGGCTCAGGGTGGCAGAGTATGTGCTTACAGGTGTACAACGCAGAAGTAGCCTAGGCCAGGTGCAGGAGTCCAACTCCAGCTGAGTTTGGAACTCACGAAGGGTGCGTGGATGAGGCGCAAAGAGGAAAGAGACGGACCACTAGGATTTCATGATCATAATAGACAATGCGGGAAAGCTGTCTGCTTTATTTATACAAAATCAGCCAAACTCTGGCTCAGACTTTTTACATCATGGTCAAGTTGGGAATTTCTTTTTTTCTTTTTTTTTTTTAAAAGATTTATTTTTTTTATTATTTTTTCATTGGAAAGGCGGATATACAGAGAGGAGAGACAGAGAGGAAGATCTTCTGTCTGATGATTCACTCCCCAAGTGAGTGCAACGGGCCGATACTATGCTGATCCAAAGCCAGGAGCCTCTTCCGGGTCTCCCACACGGGTGCAGGTTCCCAAAGCGTTGGGCCGTCCTCGACTGCTTTCCCAGGCCACAGGCAGGGAGCTGGAAGGGAAGTGGGGCTGCCGGGATTAGAACCGGTGCCCATATGGGATCCCGGGCGTGCAAGGTGAGGACCTTTAACCACTTGCGCCACTGTGCCGGGCCCAACTTGGGAATTTCTAAGGATAATTCTGCCATTAGTTTTACCTAGAAACAATAGATATTCCTGCTACAATTCTTATCCTACCACTCAATCTTGTATCACAAAGAAAAGGGGAATCTAAAGAATGAGGAAAGAATGAAAGCCTAAATGTAGGTCCCTTGATTAGCATAAGGTCAATGGGGACAGCCAAGACAGTAGGAATAATAGAAGGCCCTTTTGCAAGACGCTATCACTGACATTAACCTCCAAGCTCACACTGAGCAAAAGGCCAGCCCCACAGTAGCAAACAATGCCTGGATGGATTAGAATTCCCCGGCAGGGTGGTCTGGTGTCCATGCAAAAGAAGGTGGAGCTGCATTCAGGTGCCTGCAGAGAAGTCCACTGGGTGGGCCCTGCCAAACAGCGGGAAGTTCCCTGGGGCCCTGCCTGCAATGGGACAATACTCTTCACACCTTCGTGTCCCCTACAATCACTGCACGGACCCCAATAGCCAGGGCTCCAGGACAGGCCCACATCTGCTTCTTCTGAGCACCATTATGCCTTTGTGCGTGTTTTACGTAACATGGTGCACAAATTTGGGACTTGAGCATATTTAACAAAAGCTATGCTAACCTGTGGCCCCAAAGAGGGACTGGGGAGTCAGATTTCAGCTCTGCTCACAAGAACCAAGCTGGGTGTGAGTCTTTCTGGGCTTTAGGGTCTTCCTCTTCCAGGCAAAACAAACAAAACAACAACAACAAAAATCCAAACCCAACCCAAAAACAAAACCACAGTGACCTATTCTGGAGGACTTGCAGAAGTAAGCAAACATTATAAAGAAGGCTGCAAAGGCTTTTGTTTAGTAACAAGAAAGCAAAGGATCCACACGATGAGACAGTGACCTCTTGGATGTAAACCTGAAACATGGAAGGATAACAAGAGCCTAGGCCTGCTAGCCAACTCCTCCCTGAATATGTTCACATGTGAGAATTCTTCCTTCAGTCGCTGGAATGCTCTCCGGAGCGGAAACAGAAACCTGGGAGTATCAAGCTGCAGCCACAGGACTTGGTCTAATAATTTATACACGGTATTATTCATCTCCTGCTTTTCCTCTTGCCATTATCCAAAAAGGAAAGAAGTAGGATTCTGGCTCATTAATCTCTCTCATAATCAGCCTTAAAAAATTAGCAGAGATGTTGAAATGCAGGGAATGAAAATAGGCTTTGTGAATTTCAGCCAAGTCTTAACCTACTGCATTCTCCCTCTACTAGAAGCAAACACGAGTCACCTTAAACATTCCTCTTACGTCAACATTTAAAAACGCAATTAGAACCACCCCCCCGCCCCCCAAAAAAGAAAGTACTTACTGTTCAGGGGTTCAGGAAGCAAAGTCCAAAGTCAAGGGAATGCTCTCTCCTGTGGAAAACACCATATGCTCTTGGTGGATCAGGAGGTTCACTGGGCTGTTATTAATAACTGGCTTAGAGCTTTATGGAGACACATGAGCCAGAATATCACGGGGGGAGGCAAGGGGAAAGGAACTGACAGACACAGGTGGAGCAAATTATAACAAAAATACACTTAAATCTGCACAGGGGCTCAAAGAGCCTGGGAAGGAAGCAACGCTTCCACAACCAATAGACCCTTCTGTCAATCATTCCAAGAGTTAAATAACCAAGATAAATACCCTTAATATGGAAAATACCACAACTTATTTAATGTTACACTACCCTTTGTTCTTTGGAACAATTTATGGACATCTGGATAGCTTGTCAAATTCACATATTTTACCTTGTTTACTTAAATGGACATAACTGGTGCTCTGACATCTTTGCCCTGGGGCATACCATACTCCCTCCCTTGAGCATTCCAAACAGCTGCAAGTGTAGGCATATGAAAGAGACAGATGATTGGATCTTGAGATAGCATCATAGGTAAAACAGAATCTGCAGGAATGATACCTTCACAGCAGAGGCAGAGTAGGCTCTGGCTTTGGGTTCCCTGTGGCTTTTCTTATTTGAAAAGCAGCATTTCTGGGTGGTGTTGTGGCAAAGTGGGAGGTAAGCCACCACTGGTAACACTGGCATCCCAAATGAATCCTGGCTGCTCTACTTCGAATCCAGCTCCCTCTAGTGCTTCTGGAAAGCACCAGGAAGGAAGTCCTGGCTCCTACCTTCCCCTGGCCTGGCCTCCCGCCATCACATCCTTCTGGGGAGTGAACCAGCAGTTGGAAGATCTCTCCTTCTCTCTCTCTCTCTCCCTAACTCTTCCTCTCAAATAAACACATTTTTTTCAAAGAAAAAAATTTTAAAAATTCCAAGTTGCTGACTTTCTCCTCTCTATCCCTTCAAATTGATATCAAGATTTTCAGACCATTTTTAGCATGTCTTCAGACATAAATCATATTAGATATCACCTCTACCTTAAGGGTTAAATACAACTGATAGACAAAAGTACTGAAGTATATAAAGATACAGTTACACATCTTTGGCTAAAGCAGGGCTTAGTATGTCACTTCCTTCTTTTGGTTCCAGCAGCCTGTCATCCTAGGCCAGGTCTGGTAATTTTCAACTAAACCTTTCCCAGTGAAATGCTGTGATGAGGGCAGTGGGCCCCTCACTCTCAACTACATAACATGAAGGTTCCTCTGCTGAGGCAGCTGTGAGAGAGCACACCTGCACTGTATGTGCAGGTGATTGTCATTGTGTGTGCAGCGTCAAGTGCACTTTCACTCACACCTAGATGGTAAACTAGGCCAATCACTGGCCACGGCCCCAAAGTGCAAGAGGTTGCTGCTGGTGCATCACACATACAGTTTTACAGTGGACTTTTTATTAAAAGGTATATCTAAAGATAATGACACAAAGGCATAACACAGCATAAACATGCAAGGTGGTAATATAATTTATCATCATGATCAAATATAATGTGCTGTGTCTCCTGGACGTGCTATACTTTTGTAAAAGCACAGTAGGTGCTTTCAGCAGCTTCCACACGATAGCGTGAGCAAGGCGTTGTTCTACGCCGTTTTGACAGCTCTGACGCCATTTGGTGTTAGGAATTTCTCAGCTGTATCATAATCTTGTGAGGCTATTGTTGGCAGAAATGTTATTATGTGGCACACGACAGTACCCTTTTGTAGAACATAAATGTAGAATGCATAGTTTATAACTAAAATTAATTATATTATACATATGAATATATATAATAAAGCACAAGAAGAGAAATTAAAAATTTTTAATCCATTTCTCACTCACCCAAACATACAAGCTTCTACCCACTGGCTCACTCTCCAAAAGCTAGCAACCACTGGGGCTGAAGCCAAGAGCAGATAGCTTCATCCAAGTCTCCCACGTGGGTGGCAGGAACTCAGTTACTTGAGCCATTACCATTGCCTCCCGGTGTTTGTGTTGGTGAAAAACTGGAATTCAGAGACAAAGCTGGGAATTAAACCCAGATACTATAAAGTGAGATGTGGATATTCATTGTTAGGCTAAACACCAGCTCCCCTGACACTTTTAAAAAGGAAATTTCACTTTACACACACACTCACTCACTCTCTCTCTTTAACATCTTCTTAACACATGGGTTTACTTTACAGGTCCTTGGGGCATGGACACTCCTCACTACACCTGACTGGGTAATTAATATTCAAAACCCTGGGTCCACCACTAGATTGGGGGTTAACTGTTTCCCTTAAAGAGGTTATGTTCAGGCCTGGTGCTGTAGCCTAGTGGTTAAAGTTCTCACCTTGAATGAGCCGGGATCTCATATTGGTGCCAGTTCTAATCCCAGTGGCTCTACTTCCCATCCAGCTTCCTGCTTGTGGCCTGGGAAAGCAGTCGAGAGCAGCCAAAGCCTTGGGACCCTGCACCCACATGGGAGACCTAGAATAGCTCTGGGTTCCTGGATTCAGATTGGCTCAGCTCCAGCAGTTGCGGTTACTTGGGGAGTGACTCATTGGACAGAAAATCTTCCTCTCTATCTCTCCTCCTCTCTGTATATCTGACTTTGCAACAAAAATAAATAAACCTTAAAAAAAGATTTATGAAGAGGTTATGTTCAGTATCTGGGAATGTGACCTGCTGATGCAATCAAGTTGTGATGAGGTCATGTTAGATTGGGATAAGCCTAATTCAATGACAAGGAGATTGAAACTGGGCTTCCAAGGGCCACACAAGGAGAATGTCACGAGATGACAGAGACAGACTTGCGAGAGGTGTGTCAGCAAGCCAGGGAATGCCATGGGCTGCTGACAGGATCTAGAAACTTGGACCAGAAGAGGAAGGATCCCTCCCTGAGCCTTGACAGACAGGGTGGCTCTGTTGACACCTCGACTGTGCATCTGGTCTCCTGAATGAAATCAATCTACTTCTGCCATTTGCCTTATTTCTTCCAACAGCCCCAGGAAACAAACCTATTAGCAACACAACATTAGGGTTGCTGTAGATTCCTCTTGCACACCATTTTCTTCATCTCTCTAGCGGCAGTTAAAACCTCCACCTAGTCAAAACAATTATTTCAAGGAATCAACGTTCTAAGGGGCACCATGCCCTCAGCCTAACAATGTCCTTGGAAATGTACAAATCCCAGATCCTGTACATTGAGCCCTCGTGAGCTGCTTCAAAACCCTATAAATCGGAAACTCACTGGTGGGGTAAGGACTGGACGAAGTAGTGAGAGCACAGACCAAGGGGTGACGATGTTCAGCTTGAACCTGTGCTCCTGGAGCTGGAATACGGCAGTGGTCACACAGCCCTCCCCTTTGTATTTGGGTAGTCTTACACCCAGCAATCACCTTCTCTGAACACTTCACATAAGACAGGTGTGCCTCCATGCTTGGCCTAGGACTGAGCCAGACACAGACCTACAAGTTCCCATTCTTTGCCTCATACATGATCTGCTGGATTGTTTGTTCCCTTTGACCAATCTGCACAAAACAGCTGCTAATGTGACTTCCCTCAACCTTAATCAAGCTTCTCCCCTGCCTCCCAGGCCCTGAACTTTGACTGTCTTTGAACCTGAGCCGCCCTGGGAATACACAAGAGCTCTCTTGGAATTTTCTGAGGTCTCCTCCCAGACTCCTGAACATCTTGCGGTTGGAATGTTCTCCTGATTGCAATAGGCACTTGCCCTACCGCAACACTCTTCAGGGCACCTCTGCTAACCTGCAGACCATCCAAAGGAGAACATGCAAAGACTCCTTATTCAAAATTTGTCATAGCAGGGGAGTCAGTCATCACCACTGACATTGGAAGAGGTTCAAAGTCAAACAGAGCAGTTAGAAAACCTACCATGGGAAAAAGGGAAGGCTTAAGGCTCTTGGCATGGGGAAGCAGTAGGCAGGCTTATGAGAAGTCAGTGTTCTAGGGTATTGCATAGAGGTGCCTATTTGGCATTCTTTGCCTGGTATGAAATTGGAAGCTGATGCAAAAATGAGAAAAGCTGTCAGTTATTAATCAAATGGGACAAAGGCTATGGGATTGCTTTAGCTTTCTGAATTAGCTCCTAGAGCTGCTTCTTATACTAGCTACTGTTGAGAGCCCCTTGGATACAAGGATGAACACAGCAGTTTTTGGAGTTCCATTTTTACATATAGTTTGGACACTGGATGCTTGTGTTTCCAGTTCCTTGGGAGTTAATACTCACAGGTGAATCATTTCACACTTACACCCAGAGACGAGAGGTTCCCCCTTCCTGCCTGTACAAGGAAATGCTTGGAGTGGCTTAATGTGTCCCAACTGCCATCCCTGTCACGCTCTTTCTTTTTTAATCAATAGGTAAAAACTAAGGCCTTACATGCCATCTCCAGTTTCCATGGACTCTCAGACCCATGGCCTCCTGCCTGCCTTGTTTCTTTAAGCAGCTCCCAGAATCTCATGCAAACCCAAGGAACTTTGAAAAAATCTCCTTCAGACCCTCTTTACATTTAACATATAGGAAGCACAGTCCCAGAGAAACTCATGTTTGGGCTCTCCCCTCACTGCTCTGGGATCTCCTTGAGCCAGGCATAGCAGGTTTGACAAAATGAACTTGCTCAGTCAAGTCAGAGAGGTCAGGGAATTGAACAAACAATTCCCCTAACCCTACCACTAAATGCCTTGGCTCTGAGCTTGTAAGCACTATTCCTTCTGTCTAAACACCTTCCCTTTCCCCCATTCTCCCCTGTGAATTCTTCCCATGCATGAGTTCCCAGCTTTAACATCACCTTCCCCACATCCTACGTTAGATTCCTTCACTTACATAAATCCTCCAAAGTGCTTGTATTTCCTGGGTTGCTCATATTGTTCTGCTACAGGGTGCTTTTCTATTTTGAATTATTTTGTTAAGTTCTCTTGTTTGCTTGCTTTCCCCCACTCAATGGCCATAAGATCTTAAGTACTACCTCTAGACCTTGGTTTCCAAAGTCAGTTGTATAGCACGTCTCTTTGTGATGGTGCATAGAACGCTTGAGCCACATAGGAGGAATAACATGGGAATACTGATGGAAGAAGGGGCTGGTGTGAAGCCCAAGTCTCAAAGGATGAAGAGGACCTTGCCAAGGGCTCAAGGGGAAAGGCATTCCAGGTTGAGTTTTTAGGCAGCCGCTTAAGTATGGTCAGGGGGAATGGATGTGGGTGGGGTTACAGAGTGTGCTGCTTGCCATTCCTGCAGGTAAAGCTTTCAATCAGCAGAAGCAGAACTTCTCAGCTAACTATTCATGCAAGGTTCTACTTCCAGAATATACACAGCACTCAAACAACTTAACAGCAAGGAAAAAAGAGAGAGAGAGAGAGAGAGAATGAATGAGCTCCCTGCTAATAGATTTGGGAAAAACAGTAAAAGATGGCCCAAGTATTTGGGCTCTTGCACTCATGTATGAGACTTGGATGAAGCTCATGATTCCTAGATATGTCTGCACTTCTTGCAGCACTATTAACAACAGCCAGGAAGTGGAATCAACCTTGGTGTCCACTGATGGATGAAGGAAATGTTGCATATGTATATACACAGGGAATATCCATCATACACAAGGAGGGTGTGCTGTTGTATGCAGCAACATGGACAGAACTGGAGGACAAG